TATCTATTTATTGTATTGATAGTTTTTTTTTAAATAGTCGTATGATTTAGCAACTTATTTCGTTAATCTATAGTACATTAATCAAGTTTAACCCAGGTCGATGACCTTTGAGACTACTATTGGTATCCTCAAAATTGACTTTTGCCATAATAATCTGCAAGACTGCAGCCGGCGATCGAGAACGTCGACCACAGAATCAAGTCCACCACCGCCAAAAGTTAGCCATCATTACTCCCCTAGCAATTTTTGCCCCATTTTCAACAATTCATAAACACCCTTTTCGCCATTTTTTTTGGATCATAGCATTAGGGGTGGCTATACGGTCTGGTCCGGTTAAATTGGCTCAAATTGATCCGGTCCAGTCCGGTTTTTTTAAAAATATAAGGACCGAAGATTGGATTGGATACAGTCCGGTCTTGACCCGGTCTGGTCCCAATTTGGTCTTGATTTTATATTGAGATTGTGGGAATTTGAGTGGCCTAAGGCCTAAAAGGGTGAGGAGTTGTTTAAGTTTTATACTAAGTGCAAAGGTTTATAACCGTTTATGCAAATTACCCTTAAGTTTTGGGTGTTGAGCTCTCTTATCCGGTCTTTATCCGGTTTTTTACCTCAAATCTAAGCCCAAAGATTGGATTGGATTGTTTACTATCCGGTTCCGGTCCAGTCTCGGTCCGGGTTATACGGTCCGGTTTCCGGTTTTTCATCCGGTCTCGGTCCAAATAGCCAGCCCTACATAGCATGATTGCTACTTTGCTAGCTAACTATTTGCTTAGAAGAAATTAAACCCTTTTCATCCCCACTAATGGAAGGAACCAAAGTTCTTATGCCCACCAACCATGCTTTCATCCCATAATAATGGTTTGTTGTTTTTTTTTTTTTGCCTTTGGTGCCCTAAGGAATTTTACAATGCTATATAGTATTGGTGCTATAAGTTTTTGCTTTTATGGTACAATTTGAAATTGTACCTTTAACGTTATGGTACAACTTTAGATTATACATATACTGTTTGTACACTTTTTTTATGGTACAAGTTGAACTTGTACCTTTATGTGATGGTACAACTTCAAGTTGTAAAGTTGTACCATAACATAATGGTACAAATTCTTTTATGGTACAATCTAAACTTATATATTTCATGTTATGGTACAACTTTAAGTTGTACTATATAGCACAGTAGAAATGCTCTTGGTGCCCTAGCTAAGAAAACCCATTTCTTCTTCCTATTATTGTTCTTGTCGGCCCCCTAAAGCTTATGATTTGAATAGTTTGATATGTTACTTGGCAACAACAACCCATAAGCATAATGATAAATTATATGTATTTGGTATATCTTCTTGTATGTTGTATTGTAGGGTTTAATAATATACGTAATTTGAACCGTCAAATCCAGCTGATGAAGATAAGATAGAAAAAAGTAGGGAAGTTTAATTTGGGAATTATTATTATATAAACGATAGCCCAATCATAAGGAAGATCCTGTGACAGGGTAACATATACAATATGCAACTTCTAGACTAAATATGGTTGGTCAATTACATAATCAATCACTAGAATTTATGATTACCAGCGAAATTATCGATTTCAATTTTTTTTACTTTTATCGAACTTATTACTCTTTTTTTTTGGGGGGGGGGGGGGGGGGGGGGGGAGGGGTGTTGGGCTTAAAATAGATTGTCATTGCTAGCTGCATTGCGTGATTTCTCATGCACTCTGGTTCAGACAATTTGAATGAAAAATTTGAACGACGTAGTTGTTACGTTGGTTTGATCATACTTCGATAACAATTTTGTCAGAAAAATAATGTTTACTAATTGATTTGTCAACAACCCTAAACCCCGGTAGTACTGATTGGTGTAAATGACCGCTAATATTATATGGTATAGTAGGTCGTTGATTATATATTTATATATACAAGGAGTGGCTATAAATGGAAGGAAATATGTGATTGAGTAATGCATATATAATAATAATAATAATAATAATAATAATAAAGAAATGAATAATGGAAGGATGAATTAATATTTTATTATTATTTATTACATGGTGTAGATTGGTTTTGTGGAGATAAATAATAAGTGGCCATAATCAAATCAAAAATCGCGTACTACATATTATCCAAATTCCAAAGTCAACGAGGTTGAGTTGTGCATGGCCTTTTTACCTTTTTTTTTTTTTTTTTTTTTTTGCCTGACAGCGAAATTTCAAAGAGTTCGATCAGAAAAATGGAGACGACGAACTAATATATAATACACTGATTGCAGCTGGCTACCGGCAGATTCATATACGTACATAAATACATACATTATGGTATGAGTATTATTGTACATTAGGTTAGTTGTTCTGAACGAATACGTATGTACACAAACAAAATGGTGATATGCATAATCAAAGAGTGTTTATCCCGTCTTCTATTTTCTTTGTGAAGAATGTGAAAACCGTTGTGTATTATTACTAATATCACAAAAAGTTTAAATAGAGATTACAATGTCCTACGTACTCTCATTATAACCCTAATATTAATATAAAAATCATCTTATATAACTTCTATGACACTGATAAGAATTATAACTATGTCCAATTTCCATAACAATATTCTTAGTATAACACAATATTACCCGTACTCTAATATCTATATACGATAAGTTTATATAATTCCTAGAAACTTTGTAGCCATTTGTTGACAAAAATTCCCTTTTTAACAGCCAAAAATGTCAATAGAAGATAACATATATGGTCATAATGTGATCGCTAAACCAAAGTGTGAACGATGGAACCATTATATAGCTAGATAGGCACGTTTAGAAGGAAACATGGTCATGTTATTTGGATTCAATCAAATCGGAACCCTTTTTACTTTTGTGTTCGTTCTTGAATCTTGACGAATTGATGTTGCCTTTTGGCTTAGCTGTATTGACAAATTTGAATGAAGCTGCCAGACCAATATTCTTGCACTCTCCCCACACGCACCGCCGCTCAACCAATCGAGTAGTGTACTAATTCATTTCACTCTTCTTATTATCTGAAATATATTTTTTGAATTAGTTTTCATGTATATTGAAATTTATGGAGTTATTTGAATTTTCATTTAATCACCTGATTTTTCGAGGAACTCATATTGGATATATCGAAGGTAGGGATGGCGACTTCCGACCTAACCCGTTTTACCTGACCTGTTTCTGGAGGGTAATACTCGCTCCCGTAGGTGGTCCGAGAATGTATATACTCTCATCAACCTGATCGGCCCTACTCTCGATCCGTTTTTATCTAAATTACTTATAGATTTACTCGCATTACTTGAAATTTTACTTTTACTATCTCATATTTCTAGCTTCCCTCGCATTACCTGGGAGTAACATCCAGACTCGAGAGTTGAGAGTAACTTTAAGCATTGATTTTACTAACATTTTGGTTCATTACTCTAACTAGGCAATCTAGGTATTGACGGGACTTGAACTCATATAATTCTTCAATCATTAATTAAAATCGTTTTTTCATGTACAACTACATACCTCAACTTTCATTAATATCTATGTTACTAATTAGTGTATCAGAATGGAAAATCCACAATGCATGTAAGCACATAAATAATACACATATTTAGATAGTTCACTAATACCGCGTATGTTATATTCAGTTCATAAATATGAGAGATCATTTTTATTATATTTAGAAAAGAACATTCTATAGAGGGGCTAAGGATAGTTATATATATGTACCCGTATATCTAGGGATGACAAAAATGTTGAATATTTGGGTATTTCTCAAGACAAATCTAACTTAATACGGGTGATCAAATCGGGTTTGGATTATTTTATTTATGTGGCAGAACCGTACTCAAATTTTTCTAGTTTGGGTCTAAATTGGACCCATAGTATTGTGTACCAAAAGTAAATGGATATCGAATTCTAATGCAGTGTTTGCTAGTATTTCTTTTTATGAACCAAACAAAAAGGTGTAAACACTTACATTAAAGGTCGATAATAGGTTGAAGACGATTACTGAGATGGTCGACAGTGTCTTTTTATTTGTACAATCGTCTGAACCCAAGTAGACCCATATCAGTCCTCCAAGATGAGTTTATTCAAATTGGACTCAGCTCGAACCAAACCTAAACTCAAAACTATTAAAGTGCATAATTATCTAACTGGGTCATACCAAATACTCACCATTAATAGCATAATTATCTAACTGGGTCAGACCAAATACTCACCATGACAATTGGATCAAAATCTACCCATTATCATTCCTACAGATAACTTTAAGTCGACGACAAATAACTTGGATTTAAGAAACCCTTCAAACCGAACCCAATTATATCACTGTAACCTATGAAATTGTGACTTTACACAATCATGGTATACTCAAAACTAGGACCAATACTGCCACATAATTAATTCATTCATTCATTCATAAACCCCTCCATTATAGTAAACTATCAATGGTCATGCATACATGTTTAGATATAAAAAGGAATAGAAAGAAAAGGAGGTTACGTGGCCTCTTTATTTTGGGGACAGCTAGCTAAATGTGAATCCAGAAACCCAGGAGGAAGAAGATCCATGGAGAGTCACAACTCACAACACACATATACACACAGCTTCCCCATCCCAGCCAAAGGAAAACGACGGCTCTCTACAATATCACCATATTAATAAAAAATAAAAACCCATTTGTAGAAAGATTTCATGTGACATAAATAAATAAATAAAATCCCATAGCCCAAAGAAAAACAGAGGAAGAAGATGGCGACTTAATTTCAAGTTCCACAATAACAATTTCGGGACACGTTGCCACGGCAAATACACACAGGACGGCACCGAATCCTTTTTGACTTTCCTAAACTGTCCCACTCTCATCTTCTATTTATACCCCCCGCGCCAACAAAGAACCCTACATCAATCATACTTCTTCTCCATCCTCTGTTTCTTCGTTGGCTATAAGCAAAGGACTAAATTAACGCTCTTTGATTCATACATCAATCTGACAAAAAAAAGAACGGTATGGGAAGATCGCCTTGTTGCGAGAAGAACGGCCTGAAGAAAGGCCCGTGGACTACAGAGGAAGATCAGAAGCTCGTCGATTACATTCAGAAGCACGGTTGTGGCAACTGGCGCACCCTCCCCAAAAATGCTGGTACGATCGAATCACCAAATTAACCAAACCCATTTCCCCTGTTTCTCTTCTACTTGGTTGGTTGTTCACCATGACGAATTGTAGCCTCATTCCTCTGTTTTCCTCTGTTTTTTTTTTCCTTCCCTTATGGGAACTCAGGGTTGCAAAGATGCGGGAAGAGCTGCCGTCTCCGGTGGACGAATTACCTCCGGCCGGATATCAAGAGGGGCCGGTTCTCTTTCGAGGAAGAGGAGGCCATCATCCAGCTCCATAGTGTCCTCGGAAACAAGTAAGTTTTGGAACTCGATTTGTTGATTCGAAACTGCTCTTTTTTTTTTTTACTGTTGATTTGTTGTTGTTGTTGTTGTTGGGTTAACCGTGGTTGGGTTGAACTTTGTGGTTTGGTTAGGTGGTCGGCGATTGCGGCTCGGTTGCCCGGGCGGACCGACAACGAGATCAAGAACTTCTGGAACACGCACATTCGGAAGAGGCTCCTGAGGATGGGGATCGACCCGGTCACACACAGCCCGAGGCTCGACCTCCTCGACCTGTCCTCCATTCTGGGCGTCTCGCAGCCAAACTTCTCGAGGCTGCTCGGCGGCGTCCAGTCCCTGATCAACCCCGAAATCCTGCGCCTCGCCACCTCCATCCTCTCGTCAAAATCGCAATCATCGACGACGACGTCGTATCAACCCGATACTCAAATTCAAACCCAAGCCCAAAATCAACCCTTCTTCACGAGCGATCACCAACGGTACCAACCGGTCGCGGTCCAACCGGTTTGCTCCGAGTTTCAAGAAATGACTGCTAACTGTACAACGACGACAACGACCGTGGAGAACACGCCGCGTGTCCAGTTCTCCGATGCCGACGTGGGCCCCACGGTTTGGGACAACAATTATTTGGACGGCGGCGGCTATGGTATTCGACAATCTGATTACTACTACGCGTCGGGTTACGAGGACCAAACGGCCGGTGGTCTTGTTGACCCGTCAACGACGGCAGAGAGCTGGTTTAGCCTCCCGCCGGCGTCGGTGTTATCGACGCCGTCTTCCAGCCCGACGCCGTTGAATTCAAACTCGACTCACAACAATTTCAGTACGGAGGACGAGAGGGACAGCTATTGTAGCAATGTGTTGATGTTCGAGATGCCCGATAGTATTTTGGATGTTAGTAATTTCATGTAATTAACAAAATATTAATGTGATGGGAATGCGGGAAAGTCATTTTTCGTTGTTTGAATTGTTTCATTTTTTCTTCTTCTTTGTTTTACATATATATATATATATATATATATATATATATATATATATATATATATATATATGGTGACTTCTACGGTGCCCAGGGCAAAACCCGGGTACGGGTACCTTGGCCGATCTTCACCGTTCGTTTTCAATCTCCACGGCTCACGTTTGTTAAACCTAGCTGCGCCACTAAATAACTAAACAAATTACAAAAAGCCTCCTCCGCGTTAAGTTAGTTTTCATCCTAGTCCAACTAACTGCCCCGTTTAAATTAAATGGATTAAGACCCAAACCCAATTGGGTAGACCCACTGCCGCCCAAACCAATTTCCAGTCTCCCTAACCAATTACACGATCCCTATCTCGTCTTGGAGGGACGCCCCTTCACAGTTCCAAGAGAAGCCCCCCATCCACATTCGAAGTAGATTGAATTTCCCAAAAATAATTTGTCTTGTTTCTTCTTCGCCATTGTATTTCCCCTCGCCTATCTCTTTCTAACACGATTACGGCGACCATGTCTATTATTGTGTTCATCGAACTTTTCATTTGGAAAAGAACCCTTGAAAGAGGTTTGCTAACCCTAGGGTTCATGTCACTAGTGCTTTGTCATCTTGTCTTAGCGTTATTGTGATTATATCTCTCGGTGAAATTAAGGTTTCCTGATATGCAGTGTTCGTCTCGCCCAGAGGATTGAGGAAGGAGATGAAGAAGACCTAATTTGATTCGAATCAGATGGAGAGGTCTCCTTAATTTGTGTTTATGTATTAACGCTGCGTTTAGGACTAATTCTAGTTGGACTGGGTCTGATCATTGATTTTTGCAGGCTTTTAAATAACATTCAAACGTGGGCTTGTACATGACCCATGAAATATTCAAAATTGGGCCTGGAACGTGCGAGCCCATTAGTTTTCTCCTGCGGTATCAGCGCCAACCCTAGTTTAACTAGATTTAGTTACCCTAGTTTAACCTACACGAGTTAACATCATCATTGCTACATATCTTCCCAAATCTTCTAACTCTTGACATTCCAGACTCAACCGTCTCCATCACACGTCTCCACACTCAACCCCCACTTTTTCTTACACCTACAATCTCTCTTTCCCTACAATTTTTTTTCCCTCCATATCTTCACCTTCCCTTGTTCCTTCTTCCTCCGACTCCATGGCAAACATGGGCATTCTAACTCTATCAAACGACGACTGCCGAACCACCACAAGTCTCGCGGACTATCTTTCATTCACGAGCAAGACGACTATTGTGGCCGAGTACGAGTTCATCAACATGAGTCCTTTCCCTCAAGAAGTTAAGAAGTTAATTAAAAATCTTGGCTGGGAAAAGTTCTTCGATCTCCGGAGTCGAGGAAGCACCAGTTACTGCCCGCATGTGGTGAGGAAGTTCTACCACAATTTAGAGCTGTCTGGTCCCTCCGATTCTCATCTCGTGTCGGTCTTCCTGGGTCATAGAGTCTGCTTCCAGCCTCATCAGTTTGCTGAGATCCTCGATCTCCCCGCCGCAGGACACCACATTGATAGCAGAAGCGATCTTCGGCGGCTGTACGATTTTGATTTTGAAGTTGAACTGGGGAAACTGACGAATGGGAAGATCCAGGCTTCTTACCTCCCAGATCCTCTTCGATTCCTCCATTGGATGATCGTCAACTGCTTCATGCCAAGGTACAGAGGTCATTCAATAATTCGTACACTTGACCTGTTTATCCTTGTGCAAGCTCAAAGAGGTGTTCCTCTTAACCTCGCATCTCTCATGTGCGTGAACATGGTTGAGGCGGCTCCTAGAGGGGAAAACTGGTACACTGCCTTTCCATATGCCACCTTCTTGACCACCTTTCTTGGAAGGGTTGGGATGGATATGGGGGTTTATGCTAGGGAGGACCATTCCGCCTATTTGCCAGTCTACCGTATCGTCGAAGTGACCAATACTTTTCATGAACTTCGGCATACGGAGGATGAAGCGACCCCTGAGGCATCCTCAAGCAAACGTCCTCGGCTTACATGAGAGTCGATTGATGCAGGGCGGGGTGGAGCAGTGCAGGGCGGGATGGAGCAGTGAAGGGGCCAGCATTGGATGTGTTTTGTTAAGGCTTCGTTGTTTTTTTTTTTTTTTTCCAGTCTTTTTCTCCAGCACTCAAAACTGTCAGGTACTGAGGGGAGCCAGTACATCATCTGACTAGGAAAGTCTCCCATTTTTTTAATTATCCAGACAAATATTTTTCTATGCATGCAGTATTTTGTGAATTTGCCATGGCTAATTTCCCTAAGACAGGTGACGAGATGCAGTAATGGTCATCCCTAAGCAAGGAGGTGCAATTGCATCCTACACTTGCTATGATGTGAGAAGCTATTGCAAGGGTGCAAATTTGGTTGCAATTGAAATTGGCCCACGAGTGGGGACTATTGATGAAATTGCAATGTTTTGTCAAAATTATAGAAGTGGAAGTAGGGACTACCTATGAAATTGCAAATGAATTTCATTGGGGGAGATTTTAATCCGCTTTTGTTCTAAGCAGTTCCAATTAGGTTGATTATAATGATTTTTTATCTATGGTGATTTTTTCCCCCTTTTTCATCAAGACTCATGCTTCTTTTATCCCGCTGTCGATCTATCATGCTTCGTTTATAGTAAAATATCCTTTTAATTATACACAATAAAGAATCCATTAATTATGTATGCCTTTTCATTGTATTTATTACTACAATGAATTCTCTGACTAAAAGTGGAGTGAAAACATCGTTGGTGGAAATTCAAGGAATGGAATGATAAGGGCTGTGCATTAATTCAATTTCTGTAAATAATTAATTTTATTATTATTAGTTAGTAACGTCATTAGTTTTAGTTAGTGGGTTAGTGGCTCCTACTTTGTAGCTTCAATCTGTTCAAGAGTTGGTACTTAAGCCACTCTCCTCATCAATGTAAATCACTACTTCCAATCAGTTTTACCTTTTGGGTTACCTATACATGAATGCAAATTTAATTATACGATTGGGAGCCAATCAGTTTAACTATACATGATCCCAATTAAACCTCTCTACAAGATACAATGGCTTGAAGCCTTGAACAGACGCAACCTCACTCACAAGTTGGAAGGTGGAATTTTGGTGAAGTCCCTTTGCCATTTCCACGAAAAAACAAACCAAACCAAACCAAATATAGAAAGCATTCACAATACCAAAAACCAAATATACAAAGCATTCACCAAACCAAAAACCAAACCAAAAACCAAATATTAAAACCATTCACCAAACCAAACCAAAAACCAAATATAACAAGCATTCACCAAACCAAACCAAAAACCAAATATAACAAGCATTCACCAAACCAAAAACCAAATATAAAAGCCAAAACTAATAAGCATTCACCGAACCAAATTAAAAACGGTTGTCCATCATCCTGAGAAAAAAAAAACATAACTGTTGTCCTTCATCAAAACCAAAAACTTAGAACTCAAAATCAGGTTGTTTTGGGCTCGTTGACCGGGTTTCCTTGTGCTCTTCTCTTTCCTTTTTCCTCTTTTCATGGGTTGTCTTGTACTCTTCCACTGCAGCTTCAACTTGAGGTGCAACAATTGATATATAGTACTTGGGTCGTTTGGAGGTTGAGATTTGAAGTGAGGTATTTAGCAAATACATGTAATGATAAGATTAAGTCGTTTTTTTGGTTCACTTTGAGTTAGAATACATGCATTACCTTTTTGTTGGGCCCACCAACAATCACTCAAAATGAATGATTATAAATCTCTACTAAAAGGTGAGATTGTTAATGAAGGATTGTCTACCCTACTTTTTGTTTCATCGTTGCCCTTCCAAACAAAGTATTTTCCTAATACATGCATTGAATCAATACATCAAATGATAATACACTAATTGGCCTAATACATCAATTTGAAGAATCACAACTTCCAAACGATTAAAGTTGCTAAAGTGGCATTTGGGACCATATATTTGCTCGGTGTTGGAAACTTGAACTGAAACTGGAAGTCCTCCTATGCCGAGTCGTTTGGTATATAAGAAGACTGTTGGCTCTTGCGGTGTCGTTTAATTTATGCACTCATTAATGGTCACTTGATGGCAATTTGTAAGCACTTGATGGTAATTGAGAATACTACACCTCCCCCCTAGTAATTTGACATTACCCCATCAATTCTCACAAACTAAACCTTATCCAAACGTGAGTTTTTTTTTCAATTTCCACAAGTCAATTCCTTGGTTTTGTAAAACATGGAAATTCAGACAAATTTCAACGTTTTAAAATTTCCACATCCAAACGACCCTGAGAACTAGTTTTTTTTATTCAATTATTACATCGTATTTTTTGCACTAATTTTGAGCACTCATTAAATGTGTAGAGCATGTGGCTACAGAGGAGCAGAGTTCGAAATCCGGCAAAAAATCCGGTTGGCCCAATCGTAAAGACTTCTAAAAATGGAGTCAGTAGTCAACAAATAAAGTACAGTATTTTTATTGGGACTGTAGGATTCCCTCCAGATTTTAGAAGATCTCAAACGCTAAAGTACAAAGTACAGTATTTTTATTGGGAGTGTACTGTGTAGGATCCCCTGCAGATTTAGAAGATCTCAAACGCTAATAGTACAAAGTACAGTATTTTTATTGGGAGTGGAGGATCCCTCGCATATTTAGAAGATCTCAAACACTTTTGGAAGCCGCCATGGAAGCGGAGAGAGAAGCAGAAGAAAAAAATTACAAAACAGTATACAAACATAAACAAATGTTACATAGAGTCGAACAAAAACAAAAAGCTGTACTTTCCCTAACTATTTTATCCTATTATACATATGGCAACTTTCCTATCTTGTATACATTTTGGGAGCATGATCAACAAGTACGCGTCAATATGGCGCAGAAGAATCACCACATGAAGTAGGGTTCCACAACACCTATTATGGAATCGCAACAACATGTGATGATT